GTGTGTCTAGCCACACTGATGAGCTGCGAAACAGTCTGTCTGTGAATTTATATATATATTTATGATCACAAATATCTTTATCCTTTAAAAGAAATGACAAACTAGCGGAAACCCATTCCTCTTCGGGCAGGTTTTAAATTCAGAGTTGTCTTACTCCTAAACTGATTGTTCTACCAAAGTCAAAGAGCCGTGTCTGTGCTTCTATTTCGACCATAGCTGGAGGATAATAGATTCATGGCTTTTCCAGTCCGTCCTGCTATTTAACAGATAGCAGGCGGAAAATCGATTCATCGCTTTATTTATTGGTACAAAGGGAATGGAATAGAATCGACTGGAATTTGAACTCTGCTTGGCGATTTCACTTTCCGAATCGATAAACATTACACTCTCTTCAAATCCTTTAAAGATTTGCAAATCCTTAAATAGTGTTATAATTCACTCTGAAGTCATTATGGTCATGAAGATTAGTGAGTTAGATCTTCGAGTGTTTCTTTCTTGTCACCTTATCTCCACTTGCCTTGGCTAATTCCATTCGTATTCTCATTCCCTCCATGTTTCATTGGTAAAAAGAACTTACCTCTCAGACAGCTTCTTCCTAAAAAGCTTACTTTGTTTAACAGAATCCTGAGAGAGAGTTTCCCCGATTCCTACGCTCTTAAAATCTAGTGTCAACCGTTATCTATTCTACACATCCTCATAATCTGCACTTCTTACTTCGTTACAACACTATTCAATACTCCTCTAACTTGAGTGGCTCTTAGGTCTTGTATTGGGTGAAAAATAGTATAAAAATATAGCTAAAATACATGCCAATGATTATGAGATTGTGAAATTCTGTGGGACGATTATGCTGGAAAATATCGCGCTTTTTTCAGCATCTTAATATATGTTTCTATTTGTGTATAAGCTGACAAGTCACATAATTAATCAAAGACATCAACAAAGTATAGGAGAAAGGAGAATGAACACTAATGCAAGCAAACATAAGACAATAAAGTAAGTAATATGTAATATAGTAAGCAGTAGTCCTCCGAGGTGAATATTTATTGGACAGTGACAGACGAAGAAGCAATAGAAATGTGGTCCTAACAGACGGATGCTGAACGACGACATGTGAGCAACGACGAAGTTTTAGAGAAAATAAAAACAAAAAGGAAACTTATAGTTAACATCAAGAATAGACAGAGAGACACATAATGAGGAAAAAGGGCTTGGAAAATTTGATACTCACTGCTCCGATGAGCTGCTTTCGCTGGTTCCCAGACTTCATGAATTTAAGCGCTCAATTAGACTGGCATCTCGCTCTCACCCTTTCAATGTCGAAACTGTTAAATGTAGCCGTCTCTTCTACTCCAATAGCTTCATGTCTCGCACTTCTCGCTTGTGGAAATCCTTCCCCATTTCTTGTTTTTCTGATAATTATAATCTCCAACTATTGAAATGTAACGTCATTCGACGTCTCCAGATGCCCTAATCTATCCCCTAACCGTCTCTTTATACTTTCCTCTATCACTCCTCTTTGTTCTCGATCCAACTCTCTGTAACTCTTTGCGTGCTAGTGGCTTCCCGCCTTGCTTGAGGTTGAATGGTTAAAAAAAAGAAAAAGAAAAAAAAAAAAAAAGAAAAAGAAGTCAAGAGGGACAGAGAAAATAACGCATAACATTTACTTGAGTAAAGGTTTAGGAGAGGTAACAAAAAGACCAAATTTATTTAGAACTACACAGTACAGGAAATTGTGGAGAGCCATGATCGCCTACGTCCTGAAGAGACACGGTACATATAAGCGGAAGAAAAACATGCTGAATTTGAAACGTTAGTGTAATAGTTATAATAACGCTGAGATTTAGAATTTTCAACATTTTTCTAAGAATGCTATAGATTTCGAACCACCAAGAATAGTATCATTGTCGATGTCTTGAATTTAATTTGACAGAGCTTAACTCCCCCGACTGCATACCTCTGCAGAAAGAGAATATGTTCCGAAAAGGGACCACCACCCGGATTCATTTTTGTGGGCCAATTTCTGCCTTTTGACTCAAGTGTATACCGATCATATTTGACTCTAACCGGACCTATATCGAAAACTATGATTTTGACGCTAAATTTGTCGTTTATCGATTAATCGATCGATTTGTTTTGTATCGGTTATCAATCCTTAGCAGGTTATTTAAAGCCAGGAAATATTTTTAGATTGTAAGAATTTTTTTTTTTTTTTGAGATGATAATAGTTTTGTGATAAAAAAAAAGTTAAGTGACTTCATGTTCAGAGATGGATTCATACCAATTCCAAGGGTATTTGCGCGTAACTGAATATAACGAACCCAACCAGAATTGGAACTTGGCTCTCCAATTAATAACTCCGAGCCGCTATCCATTACACCATCCGGACATACAAGCTTACAACTCCTGGTAAGCGGTTACTCATCTAAGTACTCAACAGGTTAAACGTTGCTTAACTTCGGTGATCGTATGGGAACCGGTGTTTCAACGCGATGTGGTCCTAAGACGATATGCCGTTTAATGTAATTATAAAGATCGACTTTTACAAGAGTTCTTGAGTAAGATTATAGCATCTTCACCTTGCTACTCAGAAACAAAGATGTAATTGTTTGCATCTATATTATAAACTAGCAGTAGAGCCCGGCGTTGCCCGGGGATATAACAGTAAGAGATAGATCAAGTATTGACCATCATAAAGACTGAAAAATGAAATTGTCAAAGATTATTGTTTAAGATTGACGGACACGCATGTCTTAATTAGTTTTTTTTTTTTTTTTTTTTTTTTACGAATTGGTCAAACCCAAACTCAAACAAAAACATTGTTTTCAATCGTTATGAGTCTATCGATTGAATAGAATTTTATTATAAAAAATTGTCTTGTAAATGGAATTTTTAAAGCATTCTGAATGTAAAAATAAAGAAAAAAGTGTGCAAGACAATAAAAACACTACCTGCCAAAAAAAGTGAAGTTTTGTTGAATTCGTTTGAAAAAAATAGGAACTCCTGATCCCATATAAAAACGAACACACACACACAAAACAACCTGGGTTTTATAATAAGTATAACTCGATATGAGTTGTCCCCTTTCATTCTCGTGATGCCTCTTAATCGTGTTTTCAAATTGATTTTGTGCAAAAACAATTGTTTTTCCAATTTTTGGCGCTGTCAGAACCACCGCAAGGTAATTTTACGTAGTCCTGTGAAGTTTTGTTGAAATCGGTTGAAAAATGTAGGAAATCCAATCCAATATATAAACATACAGACACACACGCACACACACACACACACACACACACACACACAATCTGCGTTTTATAATAAGTAAGATGCTAATGTCATTGTGTCAGTGTGTCATACTTTTCAACTTTACTCCTAGAGGTCATAGTTCAAAATACCACACCATTTTGGAATCAGGCCGACTCCGTGAGCAAATTAAAATCATTCCGGACTGGATCCAGACCCACAATCCTGAAAGTTTTCATTACTGCCATTGTTTTCGGTGATATTTTTACGACGATTTTTCTTGCACGCTAACAATTTTTATAACTTGGAAATAAATTTAAGAATAATCGAAAGTAATTGCAAAATCCAGCGAAAGTCAAACATGAAATAAAAAAAAAATGTTTGTACGGAAACTAAGGACCTACATACATAAATTTGTCTTTAAATTAAGTAGCAGCAGAAAAATTATCATTGAATTTTTAAAAGGTATGTTTAATTATTAGTGCAATACTTAAATGCAGCGATCAATTTTGAGTTCTTCTGTAGTTTATTGTTACCTATCGCATCTACACCTCCCTACCTATTGTGGTGAAGGCCCAATCAAAAGCCCTCTACAGGGGTTAGCTTAAATGCCGCTCGATTAGGACGACTTTTAAGCTAGTTGTGAAAATATTTGACAAATTACATTCTCGATATAACTTTGGGGTCTGGCTTTGAAGTATGTTTCATAATTCCAAATGAATTAAATATTAGCATAGATTTATAACAGATGCGTAAACTGTAAGTGAAAATTATTTGTGCATTGTTGCCAAATCTTGTGAATTAGGAATTTGTGTCTGCGAATTTTTGATATTGTACAGTGTGAGATAAGTAAAGAATTGTCGTAAATTTAGATATTTTCAGTAAAATGAATTATTAAATATCTAACAATTATTGTTTTTACAATTTAGGCAGGAAATCTGTGACCATGGTCAAATGTAAAAAGAAAAAAAAAAAAAGATCCCAGTATGTATTTGTGTGCTTCCGCCTATTAAAAGGGGAGGGGGATGTGTTTGGTAGTCATTCCCAGCTGAGATTGAAGTCAACAAAGAACGTTCTTTAATTTGTGTACAGTTTAACCCGGATATAAGAGACCCGGATATAAGAGAAACCCGTATATAAGAGAGATTTTCTCTGGTCCCAAATCAGAGCCTGTGTTAATGTATATAAGATAGACCAAATCGGGATATAAGAGAAACCCGGATATAAGAGAAACCCGGATATAAGAGAAACCCGATATAAGAGACTTCTTCTCCGGTCCCGACAACTCTCTTATATCCGGGTTACACTGTATATCTGTTCAAGGGACTCATGATTTCGATTCAGTAGACTAACTGAATGTTGATGCTAAAGTTATGCCCCCCCCCGTATAAACTACAACACTTGCAGCCAAAAATATTCTAGTGAACGATGTGTTTATTGTATCTCCTATCTAATATCTGTTCATCTGTTTAAACTTCATTTCTTGTATCTAAAATAATATAGATGATTACGAATGCCTGCAAGTTTTACAGTTTGTGTCGTCATTGAATCTATACCGCAACTGTTGCTGCTGGAGATTTTACTGTTGATATAATTTCAATATTCGAAATACCGCAGATATTGTGACAAGCAGTCTTTGTTCCAGCACTGAGCGATATCAGTGGGTGCTTCTAATTAAATAAGCGATATTTCTATCATCACAGGGCGTAAGAAATTTACGACTAACAATAGATACAAGTTGTGAAAGACTTAATCAA